CTGCAGAGTCCCAGTCCCCAAAGCACAACTTTCCCTCTCCCTCCTCAATTACCACATTTGTTTGACTCAGAAGTCATCTCAGAGTCAATTAGAGTTTAATTATATTTATAGAAACATTCAGAGTGATAAATGAACAGCAGTCAGCCTTCCGTGTCTGGGCTTCGTATCCCCAGCCGTCTCTTTACCTTTCAAATTCCAAGCCTGTAAATGAGAAGGATACCCTCCTTCTTAGACACAGGGCACGTCAGTTTCCTTTGATCTGAAGCCCTTCTTTAGATGATGACATAATACATGCCGCCCAGAATGGGGTACTCTATGAGAACACCCCAACCATGCTCCTGGCAGAGCAAGATGACCTTGCCTCCCGCGGGCTCATTCCAGCTCACCATCTGCCATGGCTTTGTCCTTTGTTTATGAAACAACAAATGAGCACCCCCCACCCCCTGAGCCTGTTGGACCTCCATTTTCACAAACTAATTCTGTTCAAAACCCACTGTTTGCTTGTTACTCAGAGGTGACATCCAATGCATATCCAATGCATGTTAAACATGCTTGTGCTACAGATAAAGAAACAGCCCTCTCACAGAAGTTCTGTCTTCATCTTGACATTTGAATGGAGAGATTGAGTCCCAGGTTGACTGAGTTGTCCAATCACATTTTCTAGTGTAAATACAAATAGAAAAGGAAAAGCTGAGTTGGGCATTGTGGTGCACAGCTTTAATCCCAGCACTCAGGAGGCAGAGGCACATGAATCTCTGGGAGGTAGAACCCAGCTTGGTCTACATCATGATTATCAGGTCAACTGGGGCTACTATAAAGATGGCTCAGAAACATCTTTAAAAGTTTTCAACACCGTTAGTAATTAGAGAAATGCAAATTAAAAGCACCTTAGATTTCATCTTACCCCGGTAAGGATGGCTAAGATCAAGAGAACAAATGACACCAAATGCTGTCAAGCATGTGGAGAAAGGGGAACTCTCATTCACTGCTGGTGGGATTGCAAACTCGTGCAACCCCTATGGAAAGCAGTGTGGAGAACTCTTGAAAAACTAAAAATGAACCTGTCATATGACCCGGTTTTACCACTCCTTGGCATATACCCAAAGGACTCATCCTATTGTAGAGACACCTGTACATCCATGTTTGTTCCTGTGCTATTCACAATAGCTAAGAGATGGAAGCAACCTAAGTGCCCCTCAGCTGAGAAGTGGTTAATGAACATGTGGTACACATTCTACTCAGGGGTAAAGAAAGGTGAACTCATGAAATTTTCAGGTAAATGGATGGATCTATAAACTGTTATACTAAGTGAAGTAACAAAAACTCGGGGGAAAAAAGACATATATTCACCCTCATTTGTGGATCCTAGCACCAATCCTTTTGAGTACCTATTCTTATATAACTTCAGGAACCAGGAAAATGGAAGAGAACCAGGGAGGTAAAGGGAAAGAAGAAACCCAAGAAGGAAGAATAGTAGGAGACAGGTTTTACTAAAGGAGAAATGTGTAAAAAGTGGGTAGTTAAAGGGGGAGAAGGAGGGCTATACAAAGAAGTATAAGGATAAAGGGGAAGAAGGAGCTCAAGAGAGGTGGGACCACAGCAGACAGAAATTATCAAGGAAGAAATGGGGAAAATGGGGACACTTTAAATAGGGAGGTCATGGAAGGAGGATAAGACAGGAAGAGAAACAGGAGGCATAAATAGTGCCTAGTTAGTATAAAAAACCAGAGGGAATTGTATTAGTTGAAAAACCTACTGAAAATTGCACATACAATATTCCTACACGAGTTTGTGAGTGTAAATAAAGACTATATAACGAGAAACAGTGTCAGACAGGAGAAAACGTCCTTTGAGTTGCTGGCCAGGGTAGTCCAAAAGACTGTCGAAATTACACAGGCTGTTGCTACAGTCCTTGATTGCCTCCCAGAACCTGATGGTAAGACCCAATTGCTGAAGACAGGACATTTGTTGGACAAAGGGTTTGGAGCAAAAGAGCTGGAACTGTCCTGGAAGCCACCTCCCCTGAAGGCTCGCTCTCACAGCTTTGGAGAGCACTACACGCTGCTAAGGGAGAACATCAATTGATGGTCCAATTCCAGCTTCAGGCCCTAAAAAGCACACAAATGACCAGCACAGCAAATGACATTGGTGCAATAGTTGCACTTTTATCTTGAGGATAATCAACAACTACCTAACTAATTGGACTTAAAGCATACTCAATGTGAGGAAACTCATGTGTGGTACTGTAAATCTAGCCAAATACACAAAGCTAGAGAGGCCATATATGTTAGAGAACACTCCAAGGCTGTCACATCCCTAGACAAACGTAATTTCTTACCATGTGCAAAATATGGGTCCTTAGTAAGAAATTACATTTGTCTAGGGATGTGACAGCCTTGGAGTGTTCTCTATGTGCAAAATATGGATCCTTAGCCGGGTGTGGTGGCACACGCCTTTAATCCCACCCAGCACTTGGGAGGCAGAGGCAGGCGGATCTTTGTGAGTTTGAGGCCAGCCTGGTCTATCTACATAGTGAGTTCCAGGACAGCTGGGGTTACAGGGAAACCCTGTCTCAAAAAGACCAAAAAAAAAATGGATCCTTAAATTTACAAGTATCCCAAGTCACCACCCATCAAAGTAGATTCTTTTTCAACAGATAGAGATTATTACAGTTACACAAGTGGTCACCCATAAAGATTCCCTGTAAATTGCCCAAACCTAAGTGGCACATCTAAGATGCAACCTCTACACCTAAGACTCACAGAACATAGAACAAGGGATGAAGAGAACAGTAATGCATCTTTCAAGTCTCATCAATGAACCTCCATCATGCAACAGAGGCCAGGAATGCAAAAGGCTGCAAATCGCCAAAACACAGAGAATCTGCAGAATGTGGGTCCTTGAACTGAGGTCCATGTACCCAGGGCTCAGACCATTGTGGAAGAGGGGGCAGAAAGATTGTAAGAGCCAGGGAGGAGGTGCAGGACCAAACAGAAATGGTCCTACGGGTGCCTGGCACCCTTCTCATACAAACCTACAGCAATGATGTCAGCAACACAGGACCCATGCAAACTTACGCAGACAAAAACCTAGCATAGAACTGTGGAAACAGAAATTATTGGCACTTGGTTATTGCCAGATGAGGAAGGGAGACCCTAGATAGGCTGACTGAATCCCAGTGAATGAACGTGCACTGAGGGACAAACGAGGACACTAACTTTACATGATAGACCTAAACACCAATGACAGATATGAACTCCAGGGGGAGGGGGCTTTGGGGGGCTGCAAAAGGGGAAGGAGGTTTAAAGATGATTCTCTGTATGAAATACACTAAACTTCGATAAAGATTTTTAAAAAGAAAAAAACAGGATTTACAACTTTATAAAAATAATACCAGACTACAGCTAACATGGTGAAGTGGGCCGAGTGAATCTGGAAAATTAACTGGTTTTATTATTTAATTTTTATATCCTTTCATGTGCATCATGGTGTGTGCACAGGCTCTTGGTGCATGAATTTCCTCACTCAAAATCAGAGCACAGGAAGCATTCTTCCGCTAAGAACTATAATTTCATTCATGCACAAAACATTAGCTTCCTGTGCACCAGGAACACCTCCATGTAATGAGGACCATCACACAGGAAGCAGAGGAGAGACCAGTGAGCAGGAGCCAACTCCCTGGCCAACCAGGGCTACTTCCACTTCAGGGAAATGAGGTTTCTCTCACCTCTGCTCTTAGCACTGTGCCCAGTTACCTAAACTCCTTTGAATCGGGGACTGAATTGTTCCTCTTTGGTGTTTGGATGACACAAGGCAGAAGGTCCACTCTTGGACAGATGAATTAAAAAGTATCCTTGAAGTGAGATTGCAACACTGACTTTTTCAAAAGGCAGCAAGAGAGGAAGTGCATGTAGTCCTTATGTTCCATTTGCAGTTTAATAAGCAAGGAACAAAACAATTCATAGAAGGAAGTGAACCTTTGATGAACACAGGGATAAGAAGACTTGCCCTAGGTCCATGTTAGGGACTTGCTCATCATGTGACTGTATTAGCAGAAGGGAAGATATTCTGAAGAGAGAGACTCGTACACTGCCTTTCCGTTATCAACTATGGAGATAATCGATCCCAAGGTGTTAGAAGTTCCCCAGGAATCTCACAATAAGGGAGGAAATGGCTGGGAGCCTGGTGCCAGCCAGAGGAGAACTTGTCACCTAGCATGAGATTTCACAGTTCTGACAACTCCTTGGCCACCTTGCAGGCCTGCAAGAGAGACAACTGTGGGGAGTGATGGGCAGAGCCACACCTTGAACATGACTGCTCAGTTTTTCACACCTCTCATCATCTATTTAGAAAGCCTGCTATGCCCTAAAGATGGAGCTGCAGGTCACGCCCCCCATTATTTGTTCCTCTCCCCATTGTGGCCACATTGAATAAATCTCATTTCCCTGCTTTTCTTTTCTGTCTCTTTTTTGGGGGCAGGGATTGGGGATCAATGCTTGGTCGAGTTTCTTAGGGCTGCTGGGCCCAGGCTTGTACCCCCAAGTGCCAGTAGCATTCAGGGAGCAGAGTCCCCGGGCTGATCATCATTTTTTCCTGTGTTTAAAGAAGGACTTGAGAGAGAGGACATCCTCTGCATCTCAGGAGCTGCTCCCATGGCAGTACAGAACTCGGATACTTGGGGAGGGTGACAGCTGCTCTGGAGAAATGGGAAACGCTGAACACATCAACTTGGTTGTTGTTCACTTTCTCGGTGCACAGTTCTGTGAACTTAGTGAAACCTTAATTACTTCTAGAGTAGCTTCTGAGTCACACTAATGATATTCTGTAGAGAGAAGAAAAGTTGTAGTTAAGAGACTGAAATTCTGCAGAGGGTTTCCTTCCACTGACAGAGTGACAATACAAACAGTTGAACGTGGGCACACTTGATGGTAGCCGAGAACTTGTCAGATGATTCTGGAGTGCAAATATGAACCAAGGAGCCTCACCCTGACAGAAGGACCATGCGGAGTCTGTCCGCACTGGAGCTTCCACTGTGAGTAGACCTGATACTGCTTTGATGTGGTTAGCCACATGAGCCATGTATGCTTCCTGCAGAAGCATGCTTGTTTGTATCTCTGCTGAAGGAAGGAGGTTGGGAGGATCTGTGAGCCTTCAACCTCTGTTCTTCTGATGCTGAAGACTGTGCACTGTGACCTGCTAGGGAAGAAGCTGTTTGCAGAAGATCTCACTCTGTTAGTGCTTAGTTAGTTCTCTCTGCTTAGGATCAGGTCCATAGGACATCTCTATGATGGGTCATAGGATGAGATCCTCACTGGGTTCCTCCAGAAATTGTATTAAAGGGCCATTCGGATTTCTAAGGCAACTCAGTTTCCCTCAGTCTTCACTTTCTCCTGCCTTATGACTCTGAGCCCATTTGTGGCTTTCATAAAATCCCACACCTTCCTTTATAGTGTTGCTGTGTATCTAGGGCCGTCGTGAGCTTTTCTGTAATTCTTCTGAGTTACCAAGTGCACTGTGGTTATTTTGAAAGTATTCTGTACCTATTATTAAATTGTCCCTGCCTCACATACACTATCACACTGCAGAGAACTCAACTACACATGTTCTATGCCTGTTTGTTGGTGGATCTAATAACAATCATAGTTTAAAATCACAGTTGGTCCTTACAGAATTCTTACAATGTTTTATAGCCTGTTAGTATATTTTAAGGTAGCTCCAAGTAAATCATGAAATTTATGCCAGTATATATAGTTAGAAATATCAATCTCATATTTTAGTTGAGGAAACTGGATCTGGGATGGGTGCACACACCTGCCTAAGTGTGGTCACCACCAGCGGCAGCTGCTCCTCCATTCTCATGGGTGCCACTCCTTTGTTCTCCAGGCATCGAAGCTGCCTTTCTGCTCACCCGGTGCTGCCTCCTGTCAGTGCTGCTTCTGCCCAGTTCTGGATCCCAGGGCTGGTGAGGAGACTGTGTCAGCAGAGCCAGCTGCATTCAGACACAGGAGACCAAGTTCAATGACCCAGATCTGGTTTATTGTAGGAAGGCACAAGTTTATATAGGGGTAGGTGTCCAATCACAGCACAGCAAGTAGGATTCCTTATTAGCATAACAGTGTCAGCATCCTATTATCATAACAGACTTAACATCCTATCACAGAATAGCAGGTAGGATGCATCATTAGCATACTGGGTTTCAGATTACAGAGCCTGGATTTCTGGAAACTACATGACACTGACTGTTGCAATATCTAAGTGTTGCAATTTGGAATTCCAAGGGTGGTGATTAGGGAGTGGCAAGCTCTAGGCATCCGTCTCATGATCTGCCAATGGGAGCAAATGTCACAAGGCATTTCTTGTGGCTCCAATGGTCCTGCGGTTGCCTCCGGCCTGCTGTATGGCTGTCAGTAAGACTTTCACCCTAGGCTCAAGCCTGTCTCCCACAGTGTTGTAGCGGGGCGGGGTTTCAGTGCTGGGAGTGTCTCTGGCTCTCTGTGGCTGGGAGTGCAGGCGCTGGCGGCTCTGCAGGTCGGCGGGTCCGCGGTGCCGTGGCGAGTGCAGACTCTGCGCCAAGCTGCAGGGGGCTCTGCGCCAATCTGCAGGAGGCTCAGGCTAGCTGCGGGACGCTCTCACTGTGCCCGCAGGACGTTGGCCACCATCCCACGAGCCGAGGCGGGGAGCGCAGGAATGGCGAACACAGAATCGGGCGAGTGGGTGCTGACGGGGGACAGCTCCTCCAGGGAGACTGCTCACAGGCTGGTCCCAGGCACAGTGAAACACAGGATACAGCTCAGTCAGACTCAGTGATACAGCTCCACTTTATTAGGGTGAAACTAGAAGATTTATAGTGTGGAGGCAGTAGCAAAAGCCTCAGCTGATAGGTGCTCTGTAGGATGCTTCATTTACATGTGGCGGTGGGCTTCTATGCTGTCAGACAGTGCCTGGTTAAAACCTGGTAGTTTCTATGCCAGAGGTCATGTTTCTGATAAGGCATCTGTGGCAGCCACTTCAAAGTGAGCCAGGAGGAGGGCAGTAGGCCTCTGCTGAAAAGAGGAGTTTCTCCATCAAGCGCCGAGCCGGCTCGCGGCTATCCGGACATGGAGAGACTGCGACCCTAACAGCAGGGGTCCCCAACACCACAGTAGGTGTCTTATGATATTGAAGTTCTTGGAAGTGAAAGTTAAAATACCATCCAGTCCTGAAATCTGTCAATCATCTTGCAAGGATGTGGAAAGCAATTGTTTAATTAATGACTTTGGGGAACAAAACAAACAGCAGAAGACAACAGGCAGCAAAGTCTGAAGTCACTGTGGCTCCAAGATCCTGCAGCAGCTGTGACTCCATCCTGACCCCTATCTGAGTGAGTCATACCAGTGATGTCCCAAGGTGCTTCTCTACAAAAGCTGTTACCAGAATTCCTAACTCAAACTGCCTTTATTTCAAGACAGCAGTTAATACCTAATTAATCAGTCTTAATCAACAATGATAAATTTTAACAAATCCACAACTCCTACCATTTCCCTTGGAACCCCCCGAGGTCCTCACTGAGCTGAGGTGGGGCTTGAAGACCCTTCTGGGAAGCATTGCAGGGTTCTACTAGGGCACCTTCCCTGGTGTTAGCTAATGTGTATTTTTCAGGCTACAGTCTTCTTCCTGGGTGTCTTTGGGTGATTCAGCTTTAACTGTTGAGTCCTCTCTACAAACATGATTCATTTTCACTTGATATTGAGAATGATAACAATCTATTTAATACGTGTAAGTCCTGAAATCTCAGAATGTGTTTGCAAGTAAAAATTCGACCAAGTTGGCCTTGGTCGGGTCTTTAATCGCAGCTCCCTGGAGGCAAAGACAGGTGGATCTCTATGAGTTTGAATCCAGCCTAGTCTACATAGGGAGGTCCAGGGTAGAGAGGAGACCCTATTTCAAAAGATAACCCCTAGAGATACTAAGACAGAGGAACTAAACATAGGAAAGCTGGAAACAGAACACCAAACTGTAAATTAGTATGCACATCAAACTGAGAAACAGAAAAGAATATTAAACAAAATTAGATATAATGTGGGGATAGGATTTTGGCTAAATCTGAGGTGTTAGAGGTTAAAATAACACGATTTTACAAGAGTCCCCATACGGGGCGTAGGGAAGGAAGACAGATTAAATATGAGCCTTAGATTTTTTATGTATTGTTTGTTTTCTTCTGAGACTGAGTCTCCCTATGACCCCAGCTACCATGGAACTCACTATGTAGGCCAAGCTGGCCTCAAACTCAGAGCTCTGCCTGCTTCTGCCTCCAGAGTGTAGGATTAAAGCCCTGACCGAGGCCGACTCAGGGATGAATCTTTACTTGCAAACACATTCTGAGCATTCAGGGCTTACATGTGTTAAACAAATTTTTCTCATCCTCAATATAAGTGAAAATGACTTATTGTTTGTAGATAAGACCCAACAGTTAGAGCTGAAGCAGCCGAACACACGAAGGAAGAAGTCTCTAGTTCACCTGCCTTGACCTTGCGAGTGCTGCCGTTAGAGGCCTGTACCAGCATGCCTGGCCCTCAGCCAGAGTTTTAAAACTAGATAAAGGAAATATCATGAAACAAGCAAAACCCCACAGAAACAAATTCTGCCTGTAGGAATTTTGCACTCTACTCAGTCACGCACAGTGAGTATGATTGAGAATGAGGGGCTTGGGATAGTAAGTCGGCCTCAACTGCACACAGCTGTGAAAGAATCTAGAAAATTCATACATTGAAAATTATATTAATCAAAATGGTAACTAACAGAATATCCTACAAAGGGAGCCACAGTAAAAAGAAAAGGGACATTTTAGAAAAACTCTACACATTTATGCAACTCATGACTATTCTTTATCCATCAGAAACTTCTTTGTGAAATTTCTCTTGGAGGCATGCATCATCATTGTTGTTTTAAAGCAGTACTTGTATAAAACACTTTTGAATCTTGTCAAAGGAGTCATCATCATCACTATCGCTGGACTCGGCATCACGGGTAACGTGTTTGCATTAGTGAATTATACGTACAGCTTCTGGAAAGGCCCTGAGAAGAATTCTATACCTCTCGTTCTCTTCCAGTTCAGTTTTGCAAATATCATAATACTTGTTTTGAACGGATTGCCCAAGGCAATGGCAGCATTTGGTTTAAGAACCTTTCTAAATGACGTGGGCTGTAAGACCTGTATTTACCTGTCCAGGGTAGCCTGGAGCTTCTCCATCCTCACCAGCGGTCTCCTCATGGTGGTGCAGGCCATCACCATCAGACCCGGAGGCTCCCGGTGGTGGAGGCTGAGGCCAAAGTCTCCACGGCCCATCTTTTCCCTGTTGCTCTTCTTTTGGATCCTCAGTTCCGGGGTCAGCATGAACTTACTCTATTCCATTACAAGCAGCATCCCAAACACATCACAGGTTAGCAAGCATAACTATTGTTACTCTCAGCCAGAAAACCAGCAAATGAGGTGGATTCTTCTTATTCTCATGGTTCTACGTGATGCAGTGTTTCAGGGTGTCATGGGCGGGTCCAGTGGCTACATGGTGTTTCTTTTGCACAAGCACCACCAGTGTGTCCTCTACCTTCTGAAATCCAAGTGTCTCTACACAACTCCCCCCAAGATAAAAGCTGCACAAAGTGTCCTCCTTCTGATGCTCTGTTTTGCATTTTTCTACTGGACAGATTGTGCCTTTTCTCTATTTTTAAATTCCTTCATAGAGAATGATTAGATTCTGTTAAATATTCAAGAATGTCTGACCCTTGGTTATGCAATTCTCAGCCCATTTGTGCTGATTCACAGAGATGGACATCTGGACAGTTGGCGTGTTTAGAGGGTAAGAAAGGTTTGGAGAAAATCTCTGTTACACTGATTCTGTTCAGTAAGTATGGGAAAAATCTTAGTTCCGTTTTGTTGTCTATTGTTGGGGAACCCTGCTGTTAAGGTTGGCTCCTTTCTCAGCAGGGGATTCCTGCCTGACTTACCTGGAATGTGCAGCCAAGCACGGATGTTTGGCCTCATTTAAAACATGACCTTTGGCATAGTTACCTGGAGTAAAAACTACCCCCAGGTTTTTCCTATATGATAATCAGGCATTGCCCGGTAGTCAGATGATAGGAGCCCACTGCCACATGTAAATAAATAAAGCATACTATGAGCACCTATCAGCTGAGGTTTTGGCTACTGCCTCCATGCTATATTTTCACTAATCCCCACTGAATAAACCAAGCTCTTTCACTGAAGAGTCTGGAGCTGTTTGTATCACTGAACCTGCCTCCCCGGAAGGGCTGTCTTCCATCAGTGCTCACTGGCTATCCCTGACCCCGTTCGTTGCTTCTGCTCCCTTTGTCCTCGTGAACCGGCGGCCAACGACCCACGAGGAAAGGGAGAGACCCCACAGTCTATGAAACAAATTCGTGGAAAAGTCGCTTAAACAGAGAAAGATTTATTCAAAAGATAAGCAGTTTTGTTGACCTGCAACCCTGAACAGAAGCAGGATCTTAGACAGCTGGAGTGACACGAAATCATATTCCCCACTTCCTCAGAAAGTCGCTGTGATTCTCATGTGGGTAAATCTGGTGTTTCACACCACTGCTCCTGTAGTTGGGAACAGGAGGAAAATGGTTTCATAAGTTTATTTTCAGGGACAGGATCTCTTGGTAGCCTCAGGTGTCAAGGAAATCTCCCTGCTGACCAGAGATATACATGTACCTCCGAAAACTGCCTGCCTCTGCCTCTGGAGTGTTGCAATTAAAGGTAAGCACCACCACACTGGGTGATTTCATAATTATTTTCAAAATTAGCACTGTATCTAACTTCCTGCCTGGGTCCATTTGTAGGATTGATCCTATACACACAGGCACTTCCTTTTAGAATTATAATAGATAAAATATTACACTGCCCATGACTCATTATTTCATAAACCATATAAATCAAAGAAGTGAGTGTCCATGGCCCTTTGTTTGTGAAAATCTTTTCCTAATATCTAGAATAAATTAAAAAAAACAAGCCAAGACCTTTTCTGTATCTTTGTTATTGAACTGAAAAAGAAGAAGTGTGAGAATCTGGAAATGAAATTAAGAATTATGCCTCCAATTGAAATCAGGAATAACAGATTGGTGAGCAGGAAGAACAAACAGAAATGCTGGCTGTGGTGGGGCACACTTGTAATCCCATAGTGGGGAGTCTGAGCTGGGAGGTCCAAGAGTCTGAGGTCAGTCTGCTGTGTGCTAAGACACTGCTTCCAGAAAAGAGAAAAAGTCACAATGTAGACGTGATTCCTGCAACAAAATGACTCCAATGGCCTGGAAATTTCTCAGATGAAATAAGTGCCACTTGGGGCTCCTCTCTGAATGTAAAGATTGAGTAGAAAAAAATTAAAATGAATCCAAGATCTCAGCCAAATATGATGATGAATTAACATCCCCAATTACAACTGTTGGACTTCTAAATGAGATGAAGATGGGTGACTGAAGGAAGAGACATGGAACTTTTTTTCCAAGTTGGCTGGAAGTCACACCATCGATCTCTCATCTCACATGTCCCCACACATTTCTCTCACGTTTCCTGTTCAGACAAAGAAGAAGTAGAAACCTGGAATCTGCGTTAATTTGGTCTGTGAAATCTCAATGGCATTTGAAGAAAACTGTCTGAATTTTCTCAAATTTGGTGGCATGAACCTTCAGTTCAAGAACTGCAGGTAACCCTCCAAAAGATAAATGTCAAACTGCCACATTCACTTTCATCATATGCTAGTTTCTATGTGATGAAAACAATGTGAGCTATTTGAGAACAAAGATTCTCAAATATTATTATATAAGAAACAATGAACCTGAAACAAACTCCAGTCTTCAGCTTTTCCTATTAAATCTCTACACTGGTGTGGGGTCGCTCCCTCTCCTCATAGGTCGTTGGCCACCGCTCCACGAAGACAAAGGGAGCAGAAGCAACGAACGGGGTCAGGATGGCCAGTGAGCACAGACGGATGAAAGCCCTTCTGGGGAGGTAGGTTCAGTGATACAAACAGCTCCAGACTCAGTGAAACAGCTCCATTTATTCAGTGGGAGAAATAGAGAAATTATAGTGTGGAGGCAGTAGCCAAAGCCTCAGCTGATAGGTGCTCATAGTATGCTTTATTTACATGTGGCAGTGGGCTTCTATCGTCCGACTATCAGGCAATGCCTGATTATCATATAGAAAAAACCTGGTGGTAGTTTTTATTCCAGGTAACTATGCCAAGGGTCATGGTCCAAATAAGGTCAGGCATCCGTTCTTGGTGGCACTTTCCAGGTAAGTCAGGAAGAGAGCAGGAGGCCCCCTGCTGAGAAGGGGAGTCCTTCCATATGGCGCCGAGCCCCTTAGAGCTATCCGGATATGGAGGACTACAACCCTAGCATCAGGGTTCCCCAACACACTAGTAGAGCACAGTGGCACATTTGGTCTCTAGACATTAGTGTCAATTCATCCAGGGTTTGTTCATCTTTGTAAAGTCAGAATAAATGTCATTGAGAAAGATCATATCATGAACCAATACAATCTGTTTTGAGTAAGTCTTGAAAGTAGATTAGGACACAGTTTTGGGAGCATCTCTGGGATGGAGATCTGGCTTTATCTCCCCTGACAGGGTTATGGACATTGAGGATGTTCATGAGATATGGGAGCTTCCTCCCTCTAAAGATCAAGAAGACTCTGGTAGAATTATTTTATGAGTATGAGTGCATTGCCTGCATGTATGTAAGTGCACCCATGTCATACAATGTCCATGGAGGCCAGAAGAGGACGACGGAGCCCCTAGAACTGGAGTTACAGACAGATGTTAGGTTCCGTGTGGGTGCTGGGAACCAGTCCTGGGTCTTCTGCATAAACAGCTAGTGCTCTCAACAGCTGAACCATCTCCAGCCCCAACTCTCATAGAATTCTGATCCTCTTCAAGTCTGTAGATGGCAGACACCAAGACCAACCCACAATGCTGACATTCTCTGTGATGGCCAACTGTTGCCAGGATGAAGCCCAACTTATTTATGGTGATTATCATCCCTATGATCTTGGGATCACATTATCACAGTGCTTAGGGTTTCAGTTTGAACAGGGAAGACCTGCCACAGAACTCTATAGGTTTCTGAAGCTGCCACTCTGCATGAAGTTGTTGGCCACAGCCATGGTACAATGTTCCCGCTCTGCACCCTTGTTTCAGATGGGCAGATTTTACATGACAAACTCTCATGTGATATGAAGTCCCCAGTAATGTACATCTCTTTAGGGTGTATTATGGAGGTCCTGTGAGTCTTTTTATGTTCATCAAACAAGCAAAACCTAGAGACTTTCCTGTGCCCTCCACCTGATGTACAGAATTGATAATGTTGACTGGTTTTTCCCATATGACTGTTTATTCTAACCATACTTTGTCATGGTGACACTACACCTTTAAGATCCAAGTTCATATACTATCTATAGCTCTGTTCTTAAGAAATTTAGGAACAATTTTCTGAATTTCTTTCTTCAATGAATGTGACTTGGCTTCAAATCTTGTGTTGATCTGAAACATATTCAGGATTTTACTGTTTCCATGGGTTGTCCTGAACTGTCATGATCCTTTGATCATAACACGATGACATTTTTATAAGCTCCTAGTGGGAAAGTTGCACCTGACTTAAAATGAGCTATCATTTTTAATCTTATCAAAAACATAAATCTAATTAATTTACAGGAATATGGAGCTTAACAGCATGTTTGATCACCACATGAGAATCAATCAAATTTAAGTGAAAATTTCAACTGTAAAACTGAGCTCAGTTTGTCATAAGTAAAGACATGATTTTGTACACAACAAGAGACGTAAGACACCCTAAGGAAGAAGAGAGTATCATTTTGTTGTTGCTGTTTTGGCTTTTTTTTTTAACATGATCTTGCTTTAGTCTCAGCTGGCCTGGAACTTGGTATGTAGCCCAGGCTGGGTTGCATCTCACAGAGACCCTCCTGCTCTGTTGCCTCAATGCTGAAATTAAAGGTTCAATTAAGAAGAATAACAAATAATAATAATAAATAACAAAGAAAGGTAACCATGGAAAACTGAAAAACTGTTGGGTAATAGATGTTACACAGTTGGTTTAGTTCTCAGGTATTTTTTCATATTTGCTACTTTATTATTATTATTACTAGAAAATATCTTGCAATTATTTAACGGTGTGAAGAATTTTATATACTGGTTTCCTTTATAACATTCTGACAGAGTACAGAAATATCAAAGATGAACCGTAGGAACTTCAGGTCTCTAGTGCTCACAGGATATTTTACCCATGTTTGAATGTGTTTCCTATTTCACATGTAGCTCAGTGACACTCAGACACCATTTCTATTTTGCAGGCTTCCAGGATTAAGGTCAGTATGGAACAGAAGAATATTTATGAGTGATGATCCAGGTCCAGGCTCAGAAAAAACAACAGAAAACCTCTGAGGACATGGGATCCTGAGCAGGAAGGAGCTCTTCAGTATGCAGAGGAGTGCTGGGACATGACCCAAGAGCTTGGAGCAGATCCAACTTCTTAAAAGGATCTTATTTTCGGAGATCTTTTTTAAAGGTTAAAACTCATTCAATTTTATGTCTTACAGGGTTTATATTGAGTTCAATATTGTATAACTGTATTAATTCAACAGCAAACCTAAAAATTTTATAGCCACTTTTGAAAGAGATGTATCTTTGCTCTGGAAACTGTTATTGAGTATGTTAA